AATTGCTGCAGATTTCAATGCCGGGCCATCAACAAGTGTCAGCGTGCGAACCATTCAACGAGACATTATCAATATGGGGTGTCGGAGCGGAAGGCTCACTCGTGCCCCTTTGATGACTGCACGACACAAAGCTTAACGCCTAGCCTGGACCCGTCGACACCGACATTGGACTGTTGATGACTGGAAACACGTTGCCTGGTCTGACGAGTCTCGTTTCACGTTGTTTCGAGAGGATGGCCATTTACAAGTATGGCGCCAACCTCATGAATCCATGGATCCTGCATGTCAACAGGGATTGTTCAAGCTGGTGGAGGCTCTGTAATGATATGGGGCGTGTGCAGTTGGAGTGATATGAAACCTCTGATACGTCTAGCTACGACTCTGTCTAGATACTACAATGTATATTACATACTATTACGTACTACGTAAGCATCCTGTCTGATCACCTGCACCCATTCTTGTCCCTTGTGCATCCTGACGGACTCGGGCAATTCCAGCAGGATAATGCGACAACCCACACGTCCAGAATTGCTACAGAGTGGCTTCAGGAACACTCTTCTGAATTTAAACACTTCCACTGGCCAACAAAATTCCCAGACATGAACATTATTGAGCATATCTGGGATGCCTTGCAACGTGCTGTTCAGAAGAAATCTCAATCCTCTCGTACTCTTATGAGTTTGTGGACAGCCCTGCAGGATTCATGGTGTCAATGTCCTCCATCACTACTTCATACATTAGTCTAGTCAATGCCACGTCGTACTGCAGCACTTCTGCGTGCTCGCAGAGCCCTACACGATATTAGGCAGGTGCAGATTTTGTTGGCTCCTCAGTGTATATAATACATAATATTCGGTAAATGTATTAATTTTTCATTCATAAAATAATAAAAAATATTTTTTGCACATCATTAATATAGAATTTTATTCTCGTGTTCATCATTCTAAGACCATGGAATGCCCATTAAACTTGTAAATATTTGCTAGGAAAAACGGTTCACACAACGAACTTGAGTTAGTTTTTGTGTTATACGAGTATTTCGAAAAATGTGTTCTGAAACTTCCAATAAAACAATTTATTTTTAAACGTTGAAGTTTATGAAAGTGAAAGTTTCTCTATGAAACATTATGAAAGAAAATATTGAGACGTATTTACATTCATCTGCTCTTTAAAATAAGAAATACAGAGAGTCGAATGATCGTGGATGCTGACGCAATAGTAGAACAAAACTGGCTGATTTGGTAGGGTGTCATCAATCGAGGAGGAAATCTAAGAAATCACCATCTAAACTAATATATCATTCTAGAAATCTTTTATTATAAACACGTTTAAATGATGTAACACAAGGCTGGGACAATGGAAAGGATATATAATCATCAAAAAATAAAACAGGTACAGTTTAACTGTACACTTTATTAATAATTTCTTTACAAAAGTAAATTTGTTCATGATAATGCTACGATAAGTCCAATTATTTACTTGTCGAGCAATCCTCAATTGAAATACTCTTCTTATATACGTATATACAAAGACCCCCTTTTTAATGGGAAGCCTATGAATAACATTATATATTTTACAAATACGCAACTTTTTCCATTTGTCCTTTATTAATAACACCATCTATACTTAAAGTCAACAGTTTAAAACGACTGTTTACATCACAGAAATGTATGCACAGACTGTGCTTTCAACACTACATTCACACCAAAATGCTTTCTCGGAATGTTCAAATTTGCCCTGAATTATCATTTCAAAGCAAAACAAAATATATTTATTTTACAAAATAGATTACGTAAAATAACAACAAAGCAAACCAACCAATGTTTACGTAAAAGGAAATTTTTTATGACCTTTTAGGAAATTTATTTAGGCCTTTTTGACGCGATATTCATATTTTCTTTAATATATTTGCGGAGTCACAAAAAATTCTTCAAAACATGTCGGACACAAATTTGATAATTGATTCTTCAAAAGATTCTATTATTCTAACGTTGTCATTAAAACAATAAAATACCAACAATGATCACTGCTGATTTTGTTAATTTCACAAGTAGGCTACTGTGGTGAGTAATCCCCATTAAGGTATTACATTTTAAAAAGTGCGCAAGAAATGCGAGCGTGAATATATCTATAGAAAAATTACTTTTACTTTATTCAGTTACTTGTAATGCAAGTTAAGATACCGTCCTCTAGCTGTAAGTGCTCAGCTCGTAAGAATATTATTTTATAATAGTAGTTCGCGCTCATCACAGAAGTACCCAGCAAGCTTTTCGTAGTATTGAATTCTCCAATCTCTTCTACAGTTCCTCACAGATATTTCCGGAAGACATCATAGGAATAACGGTCAAAGGGAGACGGTCGTGTTACTCCGTCTCATATAAAAAACGTGTCTGTAACTACCACTCGTGGTACTGAGAGCCAGCAAGCCGTCCGATATCATACAGACTCCGCGATCCGACACACCCATCGCCTTTGGCCACATATCTAAATAAAAATACAGATGCATCGAATATGGAGATGAGATGCAGTTTTGTTTTCATCCTCACCAGTTTTGTTTCTGGCCCACCTCGTCCAGTGATTCAACCAGTAAGCTACCTTATACGGGAATTCTTTTGTCCAAGAGTTCACACTTTTGAATATTTAAGCACAAGTACATCAACATAATTATTTTCAAGTCAATTTTAAAAATCAGACAAACGTTTATAAAGAAGGAAGTTATGAAACATTCTTAGAAAAACTCATCTTGTAATCGAAATAATTGTTAGAAACGCTTACTAATTAAAAGTAAGTTATTAATTAATATTTAATTAAGTTAATAATAATTTTATAAATTGTAATTAATATAAAAATATTTAATTATTGTACAAGAAACTTCAATTGTATAAATATACATAATTTGGTGGTTGCATATTTTTTTGAAGGTCCATGCACTACAACCGAACGAGGTAGGTACGGGCACCTTCAATACTAAAGGTGGCCGTTAAATGGTTCGAACAACCGGACGGCAAATATACAATTTCTATGCACGAATTTGCACGTATTTATGCTTCTTGAAGTTACACTACAAGGTTAATGTGCTTCATCTTTATTAAACTTTTCTGCTGAAAGACTTCAAAAAGTAAATAAGTTTTTCTTAAGATAGATGGGTGTGCCAAATCATTTGATGAGTTAATTATTTCAAACAATGTAATTACAATTTTGAAAAAAAAACAATGAGTGCTTTTGTTACAACGAGTCTTCAATATTCAACAACAATCATCACAACCAAGTCACAACATACTTTCACATTGAAGTGTGACAGTATGCTTGATTTGTAGACCTTATCACGTACTTTTGTTTACGTAGATCAACTGGTTAACAAGCGACTAAGGATATTTTCATATCCAAATTCGATTTGACGTTAAAAGAGTCGTGAAAAATATTAAATTCCGAACATGCTGAGTAAGCGAGAAGAAAATATTTAAGTTCGTCAAGAAGCACAAACGTTTGCGAAGCTTTTTCTAGCCGAAGCACGTAGGAGAAACTGTTTACTGGCTCCAGTTTACTTCCATTGTCAGTGTTGTTATTCTGAACTAGAGGTGCGCCGATCGCATTGGGTTGATTACCTACGACGAATGCTTATTATAATACATGATTATCTTGTAGTTGATTTTTTTATTCCAAATTTCGTTTGAAGGCAGTACCTATATTGAAAATGTGAAGAGAAGTAAAGGACTTCACTGCAAATCGAAGTTTTAATTAGCGTTCCAACATACCAATGTTCTGTGCACGTATTTTGAAGCAATATTAATATTTTATTTGTAATAAATTCAGTGTTATTTTTAAATATAAAGAATACTCGGGCAGAGAATTGTTTATGATTTCCTCCAAGATTGCCAAGATAGAATTTCATGTCCCTTTTTCTGATTGGGTGAGTGTGTATTAATTTATATTGACTAAAAATTCATTTTTCATCCACTCTTCTTCCGTAAGATAAAGTAATAATAAAGCATGATAAATACCACATGTTAGTCAACAATGCCCATCGCTACGCTAGCGCCGCGCTGCGGCAGTCGCGTGCGTCTGAAGCCAGCACACTTTCTCTTCCATGCACTTCCTTTAGCTTCGAAAATCGGTGTGCAAACGCGGAGGAACGCAATGCATTCAGGGATGGATGAATACACAAGCAGGCTAAGCATGTCTTAGGGTCCTCGATGGATAGCGGTCTCCATTAACTGTTGCAAAAAAAAAAGTCTACTGGTCCGTAAACAATACTTTTTTTAATCGTAAAAGGTTTAGTTAATTTTTGTATTCATTTTGAATAAATATTTTGAATATTTCACTATTATTAAGAGGGACCTCTAGTGTGATTATGCTTTAAGGTATTGTTAATCCGGCTCTGAATGCGATGAAAGGCGGAGACATTGCCGTAATGTCATGTAATTCAGTGCTTAACATGAGAATAGAGCTAGCGGAAACCCGCAGTGATGCAGCCGATTTTGGTGGCCGAGTTGAAGGAAACGAAGTAGCCAAGCCGCTTTCCAACGTTACACAACAGTTCGTAGTGCATCGGATATTTCCTCTTCTGAATCACGCGAATCACTGCCTGTTTCTAGACGTGCAGATTTATGATTCCATTACAACGATTCTCTTCGGAATAATTGAATGTAATCACAAACGGTTATACGAGAAATTCTATTCAAATTATTGTAATTTTTGAGCAACTCGTGATTCTTAAATCTACTTTGTTGAACAAGTTTAGAAGTTTTGATTTTTACTAAGGACAAATTTGGATTTATTGGTCTTTTCCCACAACTTTTTACATTGTTCTAATGTGTGGCAGAATGAACGCAATATTTGCAATTCATCTTTCTAAATTATTGAGCAACTCTAATACTAATTTGTTTGACAGGTTTTCATAGAACATTATTTTCTCAACAGTGGGTTTTAGTCAATTTTAAATATTATTTTCCCTTCCTACAAAACAAAAAATACTAGTTCTGCAAACTTGTAGGTGTACCATTTGTTTTGCAAGCGAGTGTTGATGTATTCGGGTCAACTGATATTTTATCATTGTATTGGATGAGCAAAAGTAGCGTAGTATCTGCGTTAATACCACAGAGAAGTCAACAGTTGAAAGAATCACATAAGAACATTTGCCTTGATTTGTGTCATTATATACACAAAACACAGAGCAGTCAGCTCAGGCAAGAAATGACCCACGCAGCGACTTGCTAAATTATCATAATAAAATTCCCAATTTAATTTTAGGCTTACTTTCCGCACTACTTTGTTCCAATTGACACTAAATAGAACATTTGACACGCAAGAGTAGAGTAGAGCTCGCAAATGTACTAATAGTTAACAATTTTTAAAAAAAAAGTCTCTGCAGGCACTCATTCCTACCGATTCCGAAAGCTAAATCGGCACGGTGGAATTCCCTGTAAGCTCAAAAGCCGGGATTAAAATCGGCGAACTTTCGCCGCGAGATTTCGTGACTTCCTCACGAGATTACCAGACCGAATGAACACCGCCCATCCAGTCTCGGTCTAGAAGTAAGTAGCCTTCTCGCCGGGCTCAGATGATGGAGGTCACGCCGATGATAATCCTGGCGTTGGGCGCGCACCACATGGAAGACGGAACCAGGTCGTCGCCTCCGCCGCTCAGATGAGGAAGAAGTGCGGACCCACGAAGCTCCCGCACTTGGGCCAGTCGGTGGGCGGGGCAGGCGTGTCGCCGTCCGCGCCCACGTGCAGCAGCACCGCCAGCCCCGCCGCCCAGCGCGTGGGGCGCTCCTCGTGCAGCAGCCAGTACCCTGCAACACGGGCGGAGCGCACGTCAGGTCGGGGGGCAATGCACACTCGAGGGCACGAAGCACGTCGCGTGCATGGGGGCCCCCCACACAGGCACATGCAGTTATTCAGGCGCCCATAGCAAGTATAGAATTTGCACCCCTGGAAGGATATTTCAAATTACGGTTGGTGTTATTTAGTTATGCATATATGGTTTTCTATATACTTTAAGAGCCTAAAATGTTTCGTAAAAAATTGATAAAATCTCATAAAATATTTTCTTTATTCGACTTCATTTTCTCAAGTGTAATAAAGAAGATATATTATATGAGATTTTCTCAATTTCTTACGAAAAATTTGAGAGTTTAAAAATATATAGAGGACCATATATGCACAACTACATTATTGTTAATAATAAGACAATCATAGCAAAAGCAATTAAAAGTTGGTGTTATTTGTTTTAGCGAGTACACTCTATATAGCACCCCTTGTGAGGGGCGCCAATGGCACGTGCCATGTTTGCCATGTCGTACATACGCCTCTGGCCCACCGATTAGGGTCGCTATGCGTCTTGAAAAAGCGGAATATGTACTGAATATCGACACGTGTCCCGCTGCCTTTCCAGATTTTTCTTGTTTCTTCCAGAAGTCCTGAATATTTATATTCTGTTTTAATCATATACAGTCCAATAGAAACTGCGTTTTGGGGCTATGTGTGAAGTACATCACATATCTATGGGCTACAAAAGAGAACGCAAGCGGCTAATTACTTTGATAAGCAAATATATTGTTATTTTGGACTTTTTACGGTACAAATGAGAGTTGAAAAATAGATAAAGAAAGCAGTTCAGTGGCGAATTCAAAGGCGAAATGGGTTCAGTGAATAACAGAGTTTTAATGTCGACCAAAGTGATACTTTATTTAGTAATTAATTTAAATATGCATAAGTACTTCAAAGGTTTGTCAAGGAAAAATAAGGAAATGACGTGGATAACCTGAAAAAAAATCTGAAAAATTCGTCCCTGAAAAATAGTGGTCACCTTGTTATTCTTGAAAGTGTACAATGTAATTTATCTTAATCTATTATTATGTTGATTGCTCGCTACACTATTTATTTGCTATACGATTTTCTAGATATAACATTTAGTTGTATAAAAGTAAAACAATGATGCTGCAAACAGCTAAGAAATATATTTCCGATGTCCTGAATTCCATTGTTATTCTTATGGCAACCCCACCCCCAATGAATAGTGGTCATAATTTTTAATAAAATTTCATAGTAGTTGGGAGCCATGTTTTCACATTTTTAGTTTGCAACGGTCTTACTTTATTTTCATTCTAATTTTGATTACATTTGTTTAATAATTAATCTTATTAGTAAGCATTAAGTGAAAAGTAATAAACAACCATCAATTTTTCTTTTTAAAGAGGGAAGGATACCAAATTATGTTTGGCCTCAGGCGTCGAACACCAAGAGGCCATCATTGGAAAAATGATCAATATATCCTCTTTCCATACATTAGTTAAAAAGTACTTAATGGGTACTAACTATTGCAAATATTTTGTCAAATATTGTATAGCAAGAAAGGACTAAAATTCTTAGTCGTGGCCTCAGGATTGGACAGCAGTATTTATTAAAAAATGTGTTGTGAATATATGAGAAATAGATGGTGTTTTGTCGCAGTTAGAAGTAAGTAAAAGTAGGCGGAGAACATCTCGTAATATCTCTTGCCATCTCCGTTCACTGCTTGATTAGACACCCATAATGGCATCAATGAAGTTCACTAAAAGGGAATGTCCGCTGTCGATGAATCTTAAACGAACTCATGAAGGAAACAATAGTGGAATATATAATTTTTTGCGAACTTGTTACCATAATTTTACATACTTGAGAGACCAGAAAACAAACTTAATAACGACTACTACGGAATAGAAGGCAAACTCTCTCGTAATTCCTCAGGCAACCTTTGATAAACGATGGGATAAGGACGATAGAAGAGCGCGCTTCCTAGTCACCCAATTATTCTGAGTTAAAGAACAACGATATTTTATGACTTTTAGAATGAAATAGAAATGATATTCACAATTGGACAGTAGAATTCTACATTGCTTTTTCACATTTACGAGTATTTGTACATTTCGAATAACATTAAGATCTGCGAGAGTGTACTATCTCCTGGTTGTACATATCTCCTGGTTCATCTTCATTATCAACATGACGTTTCTCCACAACAATCGATTTTAAAATAGGTGTGTACATCACGCTCATCCGGACACACACTGGGATTCTATTTCACATGAATTGTCATTGAAAAAAATTGGAATAAAAACATCACCTCAGTGTTGCCATAGACAATCAGGATGCTATTAATAATTTTGAGGAATTTTGTCTACAAGCCTATTTCATTCAATTTAAAACAATCGTTTAGGTTAATTATATATTTTTAGTTATGAGAAGCATTATATGACAGTTTGATGGTGCCTATAAATACTATATGTTATTCGAATTGTGCCTATAAGTACCTATCAATGTATTTGGTCTAATTAATGTTAATTTAGAATAAATACCTACATTAAATAAGATTCTTATATCATAAGACAATGGTTGTGATTTAATACAAATTGATTTATATAAATCCTAAGTTTTTTTCCAATTTAATCCGGCAAAATGCAGATAAGTTAAACAAATATTGAGAATCGTATGTTACGTTTTATCATCAGAGAGGAGCTATTTCCTACGTGTATTTGAGAAGCCATTAAAATCAGCCATTTGATTGGTAAAGGCTTTGACATAACTTAATAGCCACTAGACTGGTGCAAAATAGAGAAATTATAATTTTATATTATAGAACATTAATGAACAACATTAATTATAGAACAACTATAATGTAGAACAGTTTCTCCCACTTTATGAACATCGTTTCAAACAAAAGATAACTTAGAAGAGTCTGGAATAATATTTATTTTTTCATTATCATAATCTAACATAATTCAAGAGTGTTCTTTTGAATAATAACGTTCCTGTTTCGCACTCCTATTACATTATTAGTTGCCAATAATAAATGGTTAGTACGTATTAACATGCATATTTTAGAATTTTAAATGACAATTTTTACTGTTACTGGTAACTACAAATTCACTTCTTAGTTATCACCAATCACTTTGCAACGCGAAGATCGCGACGTGTCAAGTCGGCGAAGAACGCGCGTTATGTGGCGCGGGAGCATATATTACCTCACATTTCCGCCGCAACCGGCTTAAAGCGCTGCGTAGCCCGTGCACCCGGGCGGCCGGTTCGGCCGGTGCGTCCACAGCGTTGGCTAACGGGCTCGCGCCCGCCCCGCCCGCGCCGCAATGCAAACACTCGGGTTCGGCCGGATGCGCGCGGTTAGCCCGCCGAGAAAGGACCGGCAAGTTACGGCAGACGCCGGCCTTGTCCTGGAGATGCTTTCGCGGACTACTTTCTTACACGCTTCCGCTCTTATTCCCTGGGATGAGCAAAAGGAATCGCGGAGCGACAGAGTAAAGATACTAACTCCTAAGTCAAAATTGAATGCGTTTCTAAGTTGTCCTGTAATTATAATATAAAATTATAATTTCTCAAAAGTTTAAGTAATATTTTTTGTTAGTTGCTTTTGCATACGTTTGGTGTACCTTCAGATGAGTTTAAAATAGATTACGAATTCAGTTTAACCGAAATTCGGTGCTTGTGAATTTATACGTTTCTTCTGAACAGGCAGCTTAATTTTCGATGTACATTTCATCTAGGATTAGGAAAATATTCCAAATTATTCATCTATTTTTGTTCCAGTATTCAAAGTTACGAAGTGGATTGTTTCAAAGAATTTCTGACATATTGAGCCCTCAAAACCTTATTCTGTTTGCCTTCGAATTTGAGGCAATTGTTGTTGTAAGAAATTCGCGAAGACCGTAAGTGCTTAAAGAGAAATTTTAACGACACTGGCTGCATTCTCGTACATGTGGATATATGTCCGCGAATGAAATTCTGACAATCACGAAGTTCTAGATTCGAGAATTACCCCTAGATAGCTCTACAATTTGAGTTACCCTAAAATCGCTCTACAATTTGGTTAAATACGAGTATAGCAGTGACACAATGAAGTAAATAACTCTTGATAATTTGGGAAGATAAATCTTGACACCGACTTATAATCCTTTTTCGAAGCCTCATCTTTCAATTACAGGCATATCCCTGAGGTAATGGTGACTACCTGATCGTGCCATACTCGTATCATGCTACCCACATGGCTCCATCTCCAGAACTGAATACGAGAATATCCACCCCATAAATCCCTCTCCTTCAGAAACAAAGGAATCGCCAGCAGAAGTATCTGGAGGGTTTCCCAATGGAGAATAATGAAACCTGATACTAAATAGCGCATATGATAAAAAAGGATAACGTGAAGGTGAACATGAAAAAAAAATAATGTGGAAGCGCGTAAAATATTTAAATTAAGTAACGTTAAAGAGACATTAAACTCTCGGAAAGCCGTTACTCGGAATTTGGTCGCAGTAATGTTGCGCGAATTACAACCTCGTTGACGGCTTTATCTCAAACGAGTTCCGAAGAGGACGCCCACGGCAACCTACTTCTCAGGGCGGGCGACATGCCGCGCCCACTCCACACGCCTGGAGCAGCATCTTGCATCTTGCAGGACGTCCGGGATATGCAGCTGTGCAACGGAGAGCACGATGCATTCGACCCAAATCAACGAATTAATTGGCTCTTCCCCTATGAATATCCGTTCGAAAGTTGTGCATTCAGGTTTTCTACGCATTAACTATTGCTATCAAGATTGTCTTACGGCAAAAGGATGTCGACTTGCAAATGTAAAAAAAGTATAAGAGAGAAGGTCGCGAATCAGGTCGTACGAGCACGACTCGAGTTTGTCGCCTGACCGCGCGAATCATCTCGCCAATGTGTTGTGTAAACTATTTTTTTTATCACGTCGTGCATGAAAGATGTTTCGTGATCGTTTCGCGCACTGTTAGTTAGAATAAAA